TTGCGGTAATCTGTATTTATTGTTTGCATGATAGGTTGTTTTAGACTGCATACTGTCCCAACAATATTAGCAGAGGAATCGAGAAGGAAAGAGTAAAATAAAACAAAATACCGAACTCCGAAGAAAATTCAAAACTGAAAGTCCGTAATCCAAAGTTCAAACACATCAAACGAATGGATAACGACTGTCATATATCTGACTTGGCACAGGTGTTTTCTTATGTAGAAAATGGTGAAAACGCGAGTTGCTTCTTTTCGATAAGCATTCAAATACCAAAGTAATTCTGTTCCGATGTCCGGAATTTGTGTCCATCAAAACCAATGTATGCAAAGAAGTAAATTAAATGTAATGTTACCTCCTTAAAGGATGAACAATACTAGACTTTCACAGGCATGAACGGTTTCTAGCTCGTCAGATGTGACTGGTCTGTTCTGATAAAAAAAACCTCCAAAATCATCAACATAGGAGCTTCTACTGCGTGTATTAGACCCGTTACAAATGATGACAGTCCCCGTCTATTCTCAGCAACAATGGGACTTTGATTAAGTCGTAAAGGCAGTGGTTACTTCTAATAATTTCGTGTCTATGGCGTTTTGAGTATAAAAATGAAGGTCTGCAACTTTCTATAAGCTAACAATTCAATTCTGGCACAACGAAACAAGTCTGCCTCCTGTAACATCTGTACGCGTTCAATCATAGTGTGAAACACACAGATTTTTCTATTAAAGAGGTGTACAGCTTATCCATGGAAGTTTGAATGGTATCGTTTATGCTGGCAGTTAGGTCACTATTTTCTTTAAGACCTACACTTCTTTTGAATGACACATTTAGGACTCAATTTCGTGAGTTACTTTTCCTTTGATATTTAAGCAAAGACACATGTGTGAGCCATGGATATCGCTGTTTGATTAGTTTGGTAATGTCCTTGATTGCACCTTGCAGATATTTGTAGCTTATCCTTGCTTTTTGTCCACTTTGAATGTCATTTACTTCTGAATTGTATTCCTCGTTTATATCTATACTTTTATCATCATAAATCTTGATGTAGTTGTAATGTTATTTGATAGTTTACTGGCGTTTTAAAGATTTCTGAGATTTCTTAGTATATTTCCTTGATATAAAGAATAAGTCGATTTAGTGTACACGTAGCACGTTATAAATTAAGTTCCCCCAAAAGGACGGCTGGGGAATAGAAATGTGGTCACCATTGGTCTTCCTCCGACCTGCAGTAAAACTCTCGCCAAAGTGGGGCGTCCGTTTTGGCTGTGCGGGATGTACAAATAAGTAGTCACGTCCGGTCAGAATGGGGACGTGAAATCTGATGCCTCGTGTAAAGAGAGTGCCACGCTCTTTGCACGTTAAGAACCATTGCAACAACTCTTTGAGGGGTCCGTAGGTGACCTGTTGTAAAGGTAAATTTCTGTCCCTATCCAATATACCCTCATTTCCAGTGGCAGTCTAAACTTCTGCGACCTTAATCCCCAACGTCTATATTACAGAACCTACCTATTGTATTTATTGTTAATTTGTTCTCGTCCTGAATATGCATGAAATATTTGGACGTTAAGCAACCAACAATCAATCAATCAAGTTCGAAAATGTGATTCATACTATAAACGAGTGGATATTGTATTAATATACCTATGATATAATGTCAAGTAATTTATTAAGACTAGAACGAGTACATTTGCTAAATCTGGTACATGTTCCTGATTATAATCTTCATTTTCTTCATGTGAATCATTAGAATTTTCAAATCTATCGTATTCAGAATCGATATCATTTAATTCATAATTGTCACTTTTTGCCCGATACCTGTCGCTGTAACTATCATTGTAACTATGACATGTTTTTGTTAAATAATTTTTTATTGTATGTTTCTGACCAATATTTTCCCAGATTCCAATACGTGAACAAATTGAAACAAAGGCAGATACGCAGAGCTGTTATTTAAATGAAAAATGAAATGAAATTTAGAAATGTGTATGAAGTGCATACCAAGAATGACCAAATCCTGTCCTCTAAAACTGTTTGAAATAGCATATTGATGATTAATCCAGTATTCATCTATTGATGGTATCGCATACTGTCGCTGTATTTTGAAAAAGGTAGATTTGCTTAAGATTGGTAACTTCAAGTATCTTTTGATAATTGCTCCCTGAGAGGATAACACTTGAAGCCACCATCATGTCACCGCTATGCATCCTTCTGTTCAATATTGGCTGTTAAAACCATTTATGTACAATGTGACCATTTTGACACCCCTTAAAAAAAGTAAACAAAATGGCAACATCAAGAAGACTGTTGTATAAATATATATGCAGTATTCTGAATGTGTTTGGACTCACAAAATTCCCCAAGGGTGACTGGGGAATAGAAGTATGGTCACCATTGGTCTTCCTCCGACCGGCAGTAAAACCCTTGCTAAAGTGGGGCGTCCGTTTGGCTGTGCGGGATGTACAAATTTGCAGCCACGTCCGGTCAGAATGGGGACGCTAAATCCGATGCCTCGTGTAAAGAGAGTGCCACGCTCTTTGCACGTTAAGAACCCTTGCAACAACTCTTTGAGGGGTCCGTAATGACCTGTTGCAAGGCTAAATGTCTGTCCCTATCCAATTTACCCTCATTTCCCGTGGCAGTCTAAATTTCTCCAACCTTAATGCTGGACGCCCCTATTACAGAACCTACCTTTTGCATTTATTGTTTATTTGTTCTCGTCCTGAATATGCATGAAATATTTGCCACTGGACGTTAAACAACCAACAATCAATCAATCAATGGACTCACAAAAAATGGTTTATCTACTATCTCTCTTTAAATTGTACCAAAGAAAATAAACCTTAACATCAAGAGTCCCTTGAATCAAGTAATCCGTATTAAAATAAGGGAAGCTCCTAATTTTTGTCCGATACTTCAAATAAGTTTAATTAAACTTGTTTGCCTATTTAAGGTAGCACAATGCAAAGATTTTATACCTCCAACTCCCCAGTTTTAAAATGCTGTAACATTCTTTATAATGCTTGAAAATTTATAAAAGTGGTATTTATGGATAGCTAACAGATTACTCTTTCAAATTATTGCAATGTTAGTATTATACAACAATTAGGTAATTAATTATAATTTTAACTGTGTCAACAAAATTTTACAAGAAATTTCCACTTTCAATTGAAATTAGCTTCTTCATGGATACCCCGAGAGGATTGATTTTATAATATGTTGTTCCTAGAGCCATTATCTACAAAAAGGTGTCTCAGATTTTGGATAGAATGTATAGATCAAATTTTACACCTAATCGAATAATCTCTACTTTTATGTGGTAAGGATGTTTACACATATTACAGATTTATGAGAGAATGGAATACGATAGCGATAATTTGAGACACCCTTTTGTAGCTCCTGCTGTGTTGATTAAGATAACGTTAAAATTTCTTGTGTAGTTATAGAGATGTCAGAGCTAAATTCATTCAAGTGAACTGACCAAGATTTTGCCATTAATTGCATAATAATTGATTACATAATGATTGCATAACAAAAATATTGCATTCATTTAAAAGATTAATCTTTTATCTATCTATATATACCTCTTTTATTAATTTGTATGCAGTCATAAGGAAGTAACATCATTTTAAAGGTTGGAGATTGGAAGTAAAAAAATCTTTGTATTGTGCTACCTTAAATGTCGAATAGCATCAGCATCTTAAATTGGTCAAAATATATACCTAGAAATTAGTAAAATTTGCAAATTTACCCATTTAAGATGAACAGCTGATGCAACCACTCCCTTCCCTATATCAACCTCCAAGCCTCACCTTTTAACGCTGCTATTTTTCTGGACACAAGTCATTGCTAAATTCAGGAGCGGACTGTAAAAGGCAGGACATGGCATATAAATCATTTTGTTGTTAATAGAGTTGAGAAGACATATGAGATGATTAGTAAAAACAACAATAAATTTTATTGGATAGCTGCTGTAACAACACAAGTTTGATAGCTTTAAATTCTCCCCAAAATGTGATGGAGTCAGTTCAGTTTGAACACCAGTATGGAGTTTTACACCACTCTTGCACCAATCATCTTCAGCGACGACCCATCAGTTGTACCCAAGTACTTATCAGAACGCAAATGACTACCCAACTCTGTCAACTGTATCCATTGTGATAAACAGATGCAGATCCGGACTCGGCCAATAAAAAGACACTACAGATGGCTATGGTTTCCGATGCATCAACGGAAAGTGCAACAAAAGACTCACAACTCGATCCATCAGAATTGGATGATATATGGCGATAAATTGTTGATAAAAGTTGGATAAAGCCAGGAGTAAAATTTCCTTAACCGCAAAACCTTATATGCAGGAGGTTGGCAGGAACAAAGACATTGTTAAATTGCCGAGTACATCGGCATCTCCAAACATCGATAAGATTGATTGATTGTTGGTTGCTTAACGTCCAGTGGCAAATATTTCATGCATATTCCGGACGAGAACAAATTAACAATAAATACAATAGGTAGGTTCTGTAATAGAGGCGTCCGGGATTAAGGTCGGATAAATTTAGACTGCCACGGGAAATGAAGGTATATTAGATAAGGACAGAAATTTAGCCTTGCAACAGGTCACCTACGGACCCCTCAAAGAGTTGTTGCAAGGGTTCTTAACGTTCAAAGAGCGTTGCACTCTCTTTACACGAGGAATCGGATTTAACATCCCCATTCTGACCGGACGTGGCTGCAAATTTGTACATCCCGCACAGGCAAACAGACGCTCCACTTTAGCACAGGTTTTACTGCCGGTCGGTGGAAGACCAATGGTGACCATACTCCTATTCCCCAGTCACCCTTGGGGGAACTTCGATAAGATCGAAATTGACAAGCGCGCAGAGGACACTAAGAGTGATACACCCGTTTTGCAGAACGAGGCAGTTACATTTAACAGGTATATTGCTGAACAGGTTCAAATTCAACTTAAACTGCTGTTACCACGTGCCATGACTAACACAAAGTTAAAAAAAGACCCAATTCCTTCTTGTTCTAAATCAAAACCTCATTACAGTAAGTTTGTACATGATCAGATCTTCGTTTATATAGTCAGTCTTTCACAAACTTAATCAATATAGTAATAAAAAAATGTTGTATCATTGCTAGTTTAAATTCTCCACCAGATACCAAATGAAATAGAACTAAAGGTCACTTACAGACTTCAATAATAAGCAAAACCCATACCACATAGTAAGCTATAAAATACCCTGAATTGACAAATGTAGAACCATTCAAACGACACAACAAACGACCTGATTTATGTGTTTTAACAATACACGAAAAACAAATTTGATAAACAGAAGTCAACAACCTCTTTTAGACTCGAGTCAAGTTTTTGTTAGATGTCCGTTTACGTCAGACTTCTTCCGGTCTTCAATCCACACAGGTTTTTGTAGCTCTCTGTCAGGATGGAGCTGCTGTTGACGGATGGTTTGCTCTTTATTACTCTAGAAAACTAGCATAGGAGCTTATGGATAGAGCCAGGATGAAATGTAGACCACTTTTGGGCAAAAGGTGCACTTAAAAAATAAACAAGACATTTACAGTGAAGTTTGAGATCGGTGCAGCTCAGACGTGGTTTCTTTTTTTTTTTCTTTCTTTCCAGTTGTTACACTCGTCATACTTCATGAATCTGGAAATAATTAAATACATACAAGTTCTGTTTTATTCTCCATTGAATAAGTGAAAAAAAAATGACAATTTTAAATATTTCGATAGAATCATAAGTGTCAATGAAATCTGACGAAGTTAAAATATCAACCCTTGACAGATGTCTTGCGTTAAATACCAATGCTCCTGACTTAGTACAGGTATTTTCACGTGAAAACCGGAAAGACAAGGCACTGAAACCCTATTAATTTTTTCAAATGTGATAGGAATCTGAAATCTAACATATAAACTGTACATTGAAAGTATTGTTTTTTTTTATTAAACTTTTAATATTATATATGCTTAGTACTGTCAAAAAAGTCTGAATTTTCTTTTGTGTCAGACCTGTTTCTTTACTGACAAAGTTGAACAAGAAGCAACTATGATTTGCCTTTAATTGTTGGAATTCATTCATGAATTACAAGTTATATATACTTAGTGCATTTTTTTTTACACATACTTGTACCTTTGTGGTACTGGGGTAAGACTGACCTATTGTTTGGAGCGTTCATTTATCTTTTCCATGGTTCTTATGTACCAAACCGCATTGTATAAAGATGACATATACTGGTATACTTTAACATTTGACATGGTACCGGGAAGCAGCTGGATGTCTTCAAATCGTCGACCAAGCTGTTGTACAATCTATCTTTTGCTGAAAATGTCAAATAAAATAAATCCACACATATATCACATTGGTACCCTGCTGTGTTTAGGTTGTATTCATGATACACATGCGTTCACCTAATTGGGTTGAGGTGAAGTGCACACATCTTCGTTAGCCTGTGGAGAGGAGGGGACTGGATCGTAACCCTTGTCTAGCCAAGATGAAGTGCATCCGGACAGACAGACAATAAATAAATAAATGAATAAATAAATAAATAAATATTTAATGGAAATCTAAATTTATTTCAGCAACAAATTGCTGTTGAAGGCATATTAAACAAACTTCCGGACTGTAGATGTTTTTTTTTAATTTTGTATCAAAGAAATATACACAAAAAGAAATAATGTGTTTCCGAAAAGACAAGATATAAATATATACTGCTTCCTTTCGGAATTTTTGGTTTTTACTAAAAAAAGCTATCCTCCAATCTTTTTAATGACTACTCAAAATTGCGGTTTTGCAGTATCTTTAGGTATAGATTAAACTTTGTCATTTGTAGTGTGTAGAAAGAAGCCATATTTTATATAATATTGTTAGAACCTTAAACTACACATACTTAGCTATGATACTATGATAGGTGTAATTGTAAAATGTCATGTAATTGTCAATCTTCTTTCATACGTTATGGATCATCGATTATATTACCTATTGACCCGGTTAATTACTAGCACGTGCCATTGGTATAAAACCAGAACATTAAAATTATGCCAAGGATTTATAGAGTAAGATGAATTGGAATTTCGTGGGTTATCGTTTTATCTTACTATACAAATCCTTGCACTAAAACTACTATGGTACTGAAAATAAATTCGAATATATTGTTTTAATGAAAAGCTTTATCCGATGGTATTTTATTCATAATTTTTAATACTGTCTCATCACGGGTATAGTGCAGTTTCAGAAGCTTAATGAACTTAGGCGGCCTTGGTGGCGTTTAGATGCACCACTGTGTCACTGTGAAGTAAATAATTGTTTAGAAATATATTGTACAATACAAGCTAAGAAAATAGAAACTTCAGTGGCGGATCCAGAAATTTTCATAACGTCCACTTCACTTGAAATATGGCGGATAGTTCTCTCATTGGCTATCATGCATCTCCTTATATTTATATTGTTAAGTTTAAAATGTCCATTTACATTTTAACAAAGACTAAAATCAAGTACCATACACATTTTATTTGGGATAACGACTTCATTTTTTACCTGCCGGGTTAATAACAAATTTAGTGTTCAGTGTATAACATACATGTTTTGTAAGTAACGATTGCATAGAAAACCGATTTCTCCAATACCTGCTATTTCCGATTATTGCAAATCTGTTATCATACGGTAATTTTTATAACCCTTAGAAAATATACATGTATAAATTCTTTATCATGAAATACAGGTTTCAGCAAGTAATAGTAAACTTTAATTCGCCGATATACAATAAATAAATAAATAAACTAACATCAATTAGAATAAAACCAGCAACATGTATAGACGAATAATTTATTAATTAATTCCGCAACAAAAGAACAACAGAAATAAATCATCAACAGAGGATTTTCTTTCTTTAATCATTCGAAAGTTACGTTTTTAAATTTGTAATATACTTTTTTGGATTAAAAATGTATCATTAAGCAGAAGGGGCGTAACTCGTAGTATCATACTAGCATACTGAACGAATATAAACACGGTCTGACAAATTTGAAAGTAAATTTTTAGGTTTGGTATGATTTCGTCTGAATCCGTCTTAACAGTTCTTTATCGCTCGCTAGAACACTCCGTCTTGTTTATCTTGACATGCCTTAACGGGGACTGAATTACCTAATTGGAGTATCGATCGGAACGGCGTCTGAAAGTCTGAAAAAGTCTTGACGTTTTTCTCTCGCGGTAAATTCAGTCGATTCAGACTTGATCAGACCAAAATGACCGTTTCAGACTGAAATCAGGCTACTAGTGATCTGATCAAGCTCCATCTCAAGTTCCTGAAGTTCTGGCTCCACAGGTTCTGGCTCCGGAATTGGCACTTGATTCTCTGGATCTGGTTGTTTTTCTGTTGGCTGTTTTTTTTTTTGGGGCTCCTTCTTTTTCTGTAAGTAAGTAAACTTTTGCTGGCATCTATTCTTGTCTTTTACGAACTGTCAAATACAAATATCTTTTTAATGCACTACACTTATGGACAGTATATTAAAATATTAGGTGAATTTAAATATAATTTGTTGCTATTGTCTCATACAATAAAAAAGGAAAAATAAAATAAATACTGAACTCCAAGGAAATTTACAAATGGAAAGTCCCTAATCAATGGCAAAATCAAAAGCTCAAACACATCTAGCGAATACTTAACAACTTGCATATTCCTAACTTGGTACAGGCATTTTCTTGTGTATATAATGGTGGATTAAACCTGGTTTAATCGCTAGCTAAGAAAGTTGATTTTACTATACCCACCACCCATCACATATTTAACAGACATGCCTCCAACACCCAAACACAATTAATTCTTAGACAGCCCTAATAAAAGATGCATATTTATCAGAAATTAAAGATTGAAGTTTCATTAACATTAGCGATAATTTAAACAATCTTTACAACATATTTAGTTTTGATTCTTTGGGGTTAGCAACTTGTTTGCGAAGGCCAGTGACAAATATTTCATGCACATTCAGGATAAGACATGTAATTTTCATCCCAATTTTGGAGTTAAAATTATATAACATCATTAGTTCAAATCCTTATCTACTGTACAACACCAGGTACCTGTACATTTTATTTTTTATCACTTACATTGTCATAAACCTCTCCTGGTTTTACTTCACCAACACAACATGCAAACCGTGCACCTTTCTAAAAAAAAAAGAAGAGAACATCCACTTATATTTATTATTATACAAAATTTATGCCGAAACCAGCAAATTATTCGATTATTGACAAAACAAGTAAAATACAATCATAAATTCACGGTTATAGTTGTGATGAAGATTTATAGGAGGGTTGTTTATAAATGTATCATTCCAGAATGAATCATTAGAAGCAAAGCTAAGTACATTTTTCCTATTGACTATAAAATACTCCTTATTTGAGAAACAACCAAAACTATTAAATTCATCAAAAATACTTTCAGGTAAAGTTATATATTGTATTGCCTCTACAATTCTTTTAGTTAAAATATTAACTTACCCCAACTTTCTCCCAACTTCTGTATTCAGACTTGTAGGGGAACACTGCAACGTCTGTGTTTCTTCTTTTAAGGGTCATTTGTTCAAGTACAAATTCATTCCTCTCAATATCAGTCATGCCTGAAAGAATTAAATGTGCAGGTATTAAGTATTGTCAAGTTGACCAAATAATTAAATCAAAATCTTTGGTATATTTTTACAGCCGTGTATCAATTTTCAGTTCCAATAAAAAAAGAGGTTTCTTTGCATTTGAACCTAGAACACTGTCAGTTAGAAAATGGAAACAAAAAATTCAGCAACCTTTCCATTTGTGAAGGTGCATAACTCTAGAATGGTAAAAGTGATGCCACCAAAACTCAAACTTGATCGGTGTTTTGTGGTAATAAGCATTGTTTATTAGTTTCATAATATTTGGTTGAGGCAAACTAAAGAGAACGGAAACCAATTTTGGGACATACAGAAGGACACGGGTAAAATTTAATGCCCGTTTCGCTACGGCGGGGGCATAAAAAAATAATTTTAAGAATTATTTCACGGACCTAGTCACACCAATTATAATTTCCACAATATTTCCTCTAAGTATAAATGCTTTCATCCCATTCCAAAATGTTTTTTTTTTGAGTATGTATTGATCTTATTTAATCACTGATAGATAGTCGTCTCATTGACAATCATACCACATCTCTTTTCTTTCATACAAGTTGCCTACATCTATGTCAGTAGGACCTGTGTTGATAGTTGTCTCATTGGCAACCATACTACGTCTCCTCATTTAGACTTTAGTTCATACTAGTTCATCCATTAAATTTGAGAGATATTATCCATTGTGTATAATAGTTTGTTTTTTTATTCACTTAAAATTTACCTTCAATACTGGCTGGGAAAGACAACTTTTGCTTTACACACAGGGTATCCTTGATGCTCTAGGCATACTTCAGACCTGAAATAAACAAAACCTTAATGAATACATACCAGATTTCATTGCAATACCATTAGTGGCTCCACTTTATCAAAACTTATCACAAACTATAATATTTAAATTTGAAAAAAGTTCCAATGTCAATAGAGAATGACTGAAGTGTAGAGGTTGAATATTCTCAATAGAAAAATTAATTGTATACTATCATTACAGGTTTCCCTTAAACTGACCTTATCATCTGTTTTGCAACTTGTTAACTGTATGCCTATCACAAGGCAAGACAAAACTTTTATATTATGGTGTTGTTATTTTGTAATTCAAGTCCATGAAGAATCTTATTGCATTCTTTGATCAATAATGAGTGCAAACAAAGTGTACATTATTGGTTGAAGGCATACTGGTCAAACTGTATTTTTTTTGTTATAAATTAAAGTGCAAAGAATTTAATACTAACCCACACTGTAAGTAGTCAGGAATTGCAGAAGATGGATCAAAATTTAAAAAATCTGTCGGCATTCTGTTGACTGGTGATTCTGGTTTGTCAGCACTATAAAAAAAAATCAATCTGTTAATATGTTGATTAAATGCAATCAGATGGTCCAAGACATATTTGACCGTCATCTGGCATGGCGAAGTAAGCTCCAACTTCCAGACCAACATCTGATGAAGATGACATTTCTCGTAAAATTCACAAATCAAATAGTTTCCATCTAAGATTTGATGTGGCCGACACTGAAGAAGGCGATCTACTGACACTCAGTGCGGCAGACAGAACTAGCACTCCATATCTTATGATTAGAACCGCTGTGTGTCCTGACGAGGCTATGGGAGATGACGGAGGTACGGAGTAGTGACAACGTAGATACTAATTAATTATACATTGTGTTGTACTATTTCAAAAAAACAATTGTTAAATTTCATATTCTTGTCAAAATTTCTATACATCAACATTTATATATTTAGTACTGACCTAATCGTATTCGTATCCATAAATAGTCACAGCTGCTAAAGGAATGCAATATACGTACTGCAGATACATAAAAACAATGTCTGACATGTCACATAATGTTATTTATATAGGAGTTTTGTTTTTTCGTTCCAAAAAGCACTTTTTTGAACTATCAATAGCATTGGTTTTGTAGTTGCAGAGAATTGTTGCTACAGGAAGAGTTATCGGGATTCTCAGTACAATCACACCAAATGCCAGTGAGATGGGAGATGTTTCGTTCTTGATAGACTCAGGAAACAGTCTTAAGGTAAATTGACTTTTTACAAGTCTTTATAGTTTCAATACCGAAATCCTTTAGCTTTTTATGATCTGTATGTATCAAAGCGACCTTCAGACTTTAGTACACCAGATAGTCCCTTTTATATTGAGCCCAGGACAATTCCCATAGGTGACAAAAGATGTGATTAGTGGTAGATCAAACAGATAGATTGAAAGCACCATATTTCCGATCAGTTCATGGAGAAGATCAGGGAATTTAGAGAGAAGAAAAAACAACCCAAAGACCAAACCCAAAGACATTTTCAGTATAATTTTCGAACAATGTGTACTTGAGCATGTGAACCTCAATGCCAAGATATAAGATTTATAATGTAAACAATAAGAATTGTAACTTCATTGACCCTGTGGTGGAATGTACAGATCTTGCAAGACCAAGAACAAGACAAACGGCACCCGCGTTAAGTATGTTTCTGAAATTATGCACTCTAAATAAAAGTTGTGTATTAGGAGTAGACACAACTTTTAAGATAGGGAATTATATGTGACAGTATCAGTTTACAGTCGTTTACAGTCATCAAATGTTACTGGATAAGTTTGACTCTGAATCAACAATGATTGGTCCCATGTTGATTCATCAGCGCAAACCATTTGACAGTTGTTGTTTCTTTTCAAATTCAGCAATATAGTTAAGAAGTTCAGTTACTTTTACTTCAGTATTGACTGAAAGTAATTGGAATTAAGGTTGGACCTATGTATGGTGAAAACATTTGTTTATCATCAGTATCATTTTTCTTTGTGGGTGAAGGTGATGGCATAAACAAATCTTCAATGCCTATATCAAATGTATTCTCATTAATCATGTTATTTTCATCATATGATAATTGAGTTATAAATATAGAGTCACCCATATCATTTTCAATATTATTGTTTTCATCATTTATGTCATTAATGTCATCTCCATGTACTTCTTCATTGTCAGATTTCTCATTCATTGTACTATTTTGCTCAGGAGGGATGAACCTCTTGATATTATTTTGTCGGTATTTCCCAATCAATTTGTCGTTGCTATCAATAAGGGTGATAGTGCCTAGTTTCGGTAAGTCACTAATTATGTACGGTCCTAACTATCTATTCTTTTTTGTTTTTTTTGGAAAGTTAAACCCTTTTCAAAGTGTTATTATGATATGGTAAAAGTATTATGTAATATCTATTTCAAAAGGAAAAAGTATTATGTAATATCTATTGTAAAAGGAATAAATATCATGTAATATCTATTCCGAATGGAAAAAGTATATTGTAATATCTATTCCGATTGTAAAAAGTATTATGTAATATTTATTCTTATTGGAAAAAAGTATTATGTAATATTTATTCCAATTGGAAAATGTGGAAAATCATTTTCACGTGATAATAATCGAAAGACGCATGAAAAAAATGTATGAAACATCCAGCATCGAATTACAACACCAAGTTCCCCCCGGTGGATCGCTATCCTTGCCGTGGTTGGGGGGCTTGCGTGTCTCAGTGACCCCAAGAGCTATGCCAGTTGGAGCTTCGTCTCCTGGTAGGGTTACCCATGCTGGACAGGTCGAAGGGTAGAGACCAGACTAAAGTGATCCGAACATCGTACGAGTTGCCTGATGTTTTGAATAAAATAGGCTCTCCAACCCGTTGGCCGTGGGTTGCTACCCGTGTCGGTGGTTGACGAGATCCTTGCGGATGAGGGCTGTAGCAAGACTCCTTACGGTCAGAAAATACCCGGACGGACGAGACTATAGTTCAATAAGCTGCTTTGGCTCCAATATCATCTAAACGGGAGGTCGGATGGACCCGGTTCGATCAATCGGCTGGTCATGTCGAGCCCTTCAGTTAATCCTCAACAATAAGCTTTCTTGTAACAATTTTCATTATATACACATGTGTTTTAAATTAAGCTATTTATATTTCGGATAACTGAAGAAGGCGATGGCTCATGGGTCAATCAAGTGGTACGCTTTCTATTTCGCTTGATGGATACGCTCTGCTTGAGTATACTATTCTTGGAACATCTGGTGCTTTCCGCAGTGGATCTTGGGTGCTAATTTTGGGGACCAGCTACGTTATACATGTTATACTTGGAGCTCGTTTTCAGCATTAGCACTTGACCCCGGCTCGCCACGGAAACACAGCATCGCCCTTGTAGGCACTCCGAGGTGGGTGGATGACAAGAATGGTGAATATTTCTCATTTCCCATGGCACAACAAAACCAACCCTCTAAATCAGCTTTAATACATAAAAAAAGAAAATGTGATGATTCAGTGCCCTGTCAGGAAGATGACAGTTGGCCCAGATTTATTGTAATAAAAGGAACAGATGAAAAATCAATTTCCAAAATATCTCCCTTTGTGATTCACAAACAAATTCAAAGCGTTGCTGGTACTGTAAAAAAAGTTTCAAAAATGAGATCAGGCAATTTGTTGGTTGAATGTTCCAACAAAAGTCAATCAACAAATTTGCTTACACTGACAACAATTACAAACTTTCCTGTTTCTGCCTCTCCTCACAACAGTTTGAACAGCTGTAAGGGGATCATTCGAGACAGAAGTCAATACCTTGGTGACCTTACCGTGGAAGAAATCTGTGAGGAACTTTCAAGCCAAGGTGTAACTGATGTTGTTAGATTTCAAATAAAAAAGAATGGAAATATAATCAAATTAAATACATATCTTTTGACATTTAGAACTCCAACTCCTCCTCCATCTATTACTTTAGGTTGCTTCGGAATCAGAGTTGACAGGTTTATCCCTAACCCAATTCGATGCTTCACTTGTCAAAAGTTTGGTCATGGAAACACACAATGTCGTGGTACGCAGAGATGCTTCAAGTGTTCTGACGAAGGACACGAGGGAACAACCTGTAGCTCTGAATCTTCTAAATGCGTAAACTGTGGTGAATCCCATTTTTCATCATACCTTAAAGAAAAAAATATTATCAAAATTAAAACAGAAAGAAACATCAGTTACCCAGAAGCTAAACAGATAGCTTCTGTTTCGAATGATCTCCTTGTTTCGAACAGACCATCGTACGCCAGCAAAGTTGTCCGCTCATTCAGTCACGAGCATACACAACTCGCATGACCTGGCCAATTGATGCTGAGACATTTACAATGCTGCCTGTTGAAACAGAACCTAACGATAAAATATTAATTCCAAGAAAACCAACACCTTCTAAAACCAGTACTCAGTCAACTCAATCTTCCTTACAGAGCTCAATGTCATCATCTAAAAAAAATGAAAAAAAGAAATAAAATAAAAAAGATACAGTTAAATCAGACAGTTGGGGCGGTGAATCTGTCTGGGATCTTCCCAGTGACATAGATGATTCTTCCATCTCCAAAAGTCCTCCTTCATCTGCATCTAATAAAACTAGTTTATCTTCTGCATCCAGTACAAAGTCTTCTAAAGCCCGTCTCCTCTTCGTTCTCCAGAACAGAAGGATGTCCCAAAGAAGCCAGCAAATACATCCTCTCAGAAGTCTTCTGATTCGAGGTCGCGGGGTAGGGGTCGAGGCGGAGTAAAACCAGCTGCGCATGGTCCTGGAGATCGACGACTCTCCTCACACAACAGATTTTCAACACTTAACGACGAATCAGAAATGGAAATCGAAAGTGTTCCGCCACCCGAAAGATTACAATCTCAGGGTGAGCGAAATAAGAATGCTGGCAAACTCGATAGCATTCGCCCGTCTATTAACAAATCATGACTAATATCATCCAATGGAATTGCCGAGGTCTTAAAATAAATCTTCTCGAGTTAACGCTTCTAGTTCAGTCTTTTTTACCTACTGCATTTTGTCTTCAAGAAACTCATTTAAAAGAAAGTGACAATGTATCTTTAAAAGGATACAACATGTATAGCACATTTTCTAAGGTAGATGAACGTGCTGCAGGCGGATCATCCATTTTTGTGAAGGACAACGTCATTCATAGCACAGTCCAACTCACCACGGATCTGCAGGCAGTTGCAATTCGTTTATCATTAGATAAAACAATTACATTATGTTCTATATATATTCCACCCAATTCAATTATCGATAAAGCTAAACTCAAAAACCTCACTGATCAATTACCCTCACCATTTATACTTATGGGCGACTTCAATGCACACAACCCCTTGTGGGGAAGCAAGTCTCATAATATCAAAGGTAAGATCATTGAGGACTTTGTCTCTCAAGAAGGATTATGCATTTTAAATGATGGATCTAATACTTATCTTCATCCTGGAAACGGGTCTTATTCTGCTATTGATATCACTATTTGCGATCCCTCTCTTCTTCTGGATTATTCATGGCGTGTTCATGATGATCTATGTGGAAGTGATCACTTTCCAATAGTACTTGAACATCTTTTTACTTCTGCCCAACAGAGAGTACCACGTTGGAAACTTGACAAGGCGGACTGGTCCTTGTTTGAGAATC